CCGCTACCACTATGTTCGAGAGCAGGTCGAAAGTGGGAGCGTTGAGGTGTTCTATGTTGCTTCTGGGGAGCAACTCGCCGACGCGCTGACAAAAAACGTGCCCTTCTCCATATTGGACCGTTTCCGTCACAGCATTGGCTTGGTGTCCTCCACATCTTGAACGAGTGGGAGTGTTGAACTTCTGTGTCTACGGCTGTGCCGGACCGGGAGTGGCAGTGATAGTGGCTGTGCGTCTACCATACGCCAGCATGGACTTTCCTACTTACCATATATGTACATTCTTTTGTTCTGTACTTACTTAGCATCCTGCCATCCCTCCATATGATTCTGGTACGTTCTACGATGTTCCGGACTATTCTAGACAAGCGTCCGGATTACTCGCATTACTCAGCCATGGACTATCTGACCTTATGTCGATTATGCTCCCTTACTCAGCGTTACTCATCGCTCAGTCAGTGTCCTCTGGACGTCACATGCCCTCTTCCTATATGCTTACTCATCGTCCTCCCCAGTAGTATATAAGGAGGACTCTGCAGGCCTCTGCTCTTCAGTCGTTCTCTCACAGACTGAAGAGTAAGTCCCATACTACCTATGCTTCCTTACATGTTTACTTACTAGTACTTGTAGCCTCTCTTTGTGCGGCTTACAGGTACAGTACTATGCAATCATAGTCGTTCTCTCACAGACTGAAGACCTCTCTTTGTGCGGCTTACAGCCTTCCAGGTTCAGAGTTCATCATCCCGGATACGACGACTCTCAACAATGGTCAGCATTTCTCTCCCGAAGGCCTAAACAGTGTATACGCTACCAACGCTACCGAGCCCTACGACTTTCCTTCTGCCGGGTCTGCCTATTTCTTTCCCAGCTACTATTACTAGGCCATGGGCATCCTAACGAGACAGCAGCGCTTCTGGAGGCGACCACAACACAATACTCATACTACTGGATTTAGGTGTATATATCTCACAGTACTTACTTCCTACTCGCCTATCTATCTGGACTTTGAATCGTGCAACGGCGCTGTGGCTCTTGCCCCAAGATTATTGCGGGCGGGATTGGCGGCCCGCCTCGGTACAAGCGTAGCGCCGGCAGTGCACGATCCCGGTGGCGAGGACACTTTCTTCGGTTCTCCATCCTCCTCTCAGACTATTTTCTCTCAGACTATTTTCTCTCTACGTGGTGTTGGCTGGTACATGGTTTCCGGCACGAACTCGAACTAGGTGCACAATATTCAGCCGCAGTGATCACACGATGGCGATCTGAACGAGGCCTGGCTTGACATAACCCAATTAACTGCGCGCTTATGAAGTGACTGCTGTGTCGTGGCTTTCCGTAGACCGAGCAGTGAGCAACATCTCTCTCCTCGAGCCTGCCTCATGGACACCCTCCCGCTAGAGACTCTCCAGCATATATTCGAACTCGCATGTACAGACGGAGGACGCACGGGGAACTCCCTCTCGCTCGTATCGAAAGGCATCCGCGCAGCGGTGCGCACGACCCGCTTCCACTCTATCGCCCTCATCGCCAGTCCCCGCCGCCTCCAGTCTTTCATCGACCTCTACCGGCGCGAATGTGATCCCGCGCGCGGAGACAGGCCACGCATCCAACACATGCATGTGGCGTTCCCCTACATCGACCTCGAGGCTATCGTGCACGTCGTGGGGGGGGGACGACATGTTCTGGCCCCTGGTGCACACGCGCTCGCTCGAACCCTTCCCGAGTGCCCTAGCTCAAAGTACTTTGCGAAGGGCCACTGTCAGGGCGGCCGTCCCGGCCGAAGGCGCGTCCGAGGGTGCCGCGTGCACATCTGCGGCGAAGGCGCCGCCTCCCGTCTTGCAACGCAATGCGGGGCGACCCAGTATATGGACGAAAACGCTGCGAGCTGCCTGGAGCTACCGCTCTAGAGTCATGGAACGCTTGACCGGGCGTCGCAGCTCCGGTTGTTCCGATCACCAGTCTACCTCCCCGAAGTACCTAGGCCCGACCACCTACGAAGAGTACCGTGACGCACTGCGCGCCCGAGAGGTGGTGGGCGCTACGACTATATCGAGTGGTTAGTTCCGATCACCAGGCAAAGTGTAGGTTTATTAGTGGGTAGTGAAAGTGGTGGTGAACAGCTCCTTTCGGAGTTTCGCCAATTATATTGGTGACAATCACTCTAGTCCATTCAAAAATTAGCGCTTGAGAGAAATCCAGTTGGGAGCAAATATGAACAAACAATGGGAGGCAGTCTGTGGATGCTTGACAACGGTCGCCTCTCTTGTCCTCAACGTCCTCGAGCTCGTCCTCGTCGCCCTCTCGAGCTCGCCTTCTCGTGCACATTCTCTCTCTGGTTATTGCATGTCTTCTCGCCGCTTTGCATCGCTACCTTGTTGTCCTCCTTTTGCTTTCCGACCTATCTGATGTGAGGAACCGGGAATGCTCGCTCCCGTCAACGGCGACACTCTCAAGCTACCAGGCCTATCTTGTTTACCTGTCAGCAAATGCATTGATTTCATACAAGTACGTTCTTACCTGTGCTGCTACTTCTATGCTGCCTCTGCATCTTAGGTCACCTCTCTTGTGCTACTACCCTGGCTGAAGTTGCTCGCATTGCGGCTCCTTTCTTCTCCGAATCCTGTGTTTCTGCCGCCCGGCCTTGTGCACGTCTTCGCTACGTCTGTGCGCCCTCCGTGTCTCTGCAACCTCGCCCTCGCCTTGCCTGTGACTCCCGATCACCCTTGTGCCGCCCGCACTCGCGCCCAACCCTGTCCTGCGTATGCTCACGCATGCCCTGCGGACATCGTGTGTCCTCTTTGCGAATGTCACACGTCCTCTTCACGCACACCGAGCATCTGCCTTGTGTTCATGCTGCGCACGTTCGTGCCCGCACTTCGGTCCGCGTACGTTCGTGCATTCCCTGCCCGCGCACGCCCTCGTGTCCTGTGTATCTGCATCTCGCGTTTCTGGGCGCGCCCCGCCCCCGCCCACATCGTCTTGCTCGTGTTCTGCCTATGCTCGCACCCACGTCATACCTGGCGCACGCCCCCATGTCTCGTGTTCCGCCGCCCGGCCTGCTGCTCATTTGCCTGCGTCTCTGCACCGTCTTTGTGTCTCTGCGGCCTTTGCCTCCCGCCCTCATCTTACCGGCGTCTTGTCTATGTCCCGTTCACCCTCACGCCCACCTCTTATCCTGTGTACGCTCGCCTCACTCATTCACTCGCTCACACACGCCCCGCGCACATCCTACGTCCTTGCGACATCCTGCATCTTCCCTGCGCGGATGCCATGCGCCTTCCCCTCATCCTCGCGCAGCGCTCACACCGTGGCCGTGTATCATATGTGCTCGTGCATACCGCGCATCTTGCCCGCGGCGCGCGCCCCACGTCCACTATATGTATCTAGTACGGTATTGTACCTGTCCCCGTCCGTCGTCGAATGATATTCCCATTGCCCATCCCAATCAAATGAGCGCCGTACATGTTATAGTGAAATCCATAGTGCAAGATAGTGTGAATCACCCGGTATTGGAATCGGAATTCACCCGGATAATTGCATATAGTCACCCACTCCGCCCGCCTGTACCAACATGTTGAATCGTTGCAAAATAAGGTTGAAATTTCCGGCTTCTGACACCACCAAAAGTAGTGATTATTCACCGGCGCCAAAGTCGCCGAGTGGGTGGAAACAACCAGTTTTCGTTGGTATTTCCTCTACTTTAGGTATCGTGAACTAACGGGTGATTTTCACAATATATCGGTCGTACAGTGACGTAGCGCAAACACTGTTCCGGTTAGTTGCCTCCGACCTAGTGACCCTGGTCGTACAGCACGGGTTCACCTGCGGAGGCGAGATGTGTCTCCCCATCGTCGATCGTCAATTCCCCCGTCTATCAGAGCTGGCGTTTGTTGGAGTAGCGGACCCCTGTGCGCTCCTCCCCCATCCCGACGGCGCAGCGGACGTGCCGATCTTCCCTGCGCTGACGCGCTTGTACCTCGCGCCCCCACACGCGGGCGGATGCGGACTTTCCCTCCCGTTCTGGACCATCCACGCGCCCGGCGTCACACACCTGCGCGTGTCGTGCGCAGAGAACTATCCGAACGACATCTGCAGGGCGGTGGGACTGCGGTCACCACTCATCCAGATGCACTACCACCCCGGGCCCAATGGGGGATCCGAAGACTTGCCGCTGCCTCCTTCGACACCCATGTATCCGAGCGTGCGCCATCTTGTGTTACAGCCCGGTCCGGAGCCCACATCAGCAATATGTCACCTACTTGGAGGCTTACTTTGGTCCAAGTAGGCCGTCTTGGCTCAAGTATGGCTACTTTGGTACAAGTGCAGCAACTTGAATTCAAGTCATGGACTTCGGTGCAAGTCCACTTAATTGGGGTCAGTCCACTGACTTGGGCATATTTCGCCCACTTTGAAAGCTTGAGTGACTTACGGTGACTTGGGCAGGTTTGTACTTAGTGAAATTCACAACATGGAGTCTTCGACTGTGCACAATATTGACTGATTATGATACCTTTCCCCAATGACTGTATTCTGTCTCGAGGCATGTTTACAATGGACAATGCCATACAATTGAATATTCAAATCTACTGCATAATGATGGAACAACCCGCTTATGCACCACCTTCACACCAAGTATACTGACCTCTTTGACAGGCCAGTGTGAGGCTCTGTCTGCCTTGTGCTCGTTGTATTGGCATCTGTCCTGTTCATTTTGAGGTGTCTGTAATGAAAACCACTTGTACTACTCGCTCACTATATATTTCTACACTAATAGCCCCATGGTACGATACTTACTCGCTCTTCATTATGTGTGGCAGCCATGTACCTCAAAGCCATATAATGCATGAGCAGAAGCAAATATACAAGTTGCTTTGGTGTAGTGGTTTACGGTACCTAGTTAGATAGACATTAGAATAAACATTTGAGGTTCTGAGTTCAATCCTGAGCATGGTCAATGATTTCCGGCTTGAGCTCGGGTGATAGGCTGTTCACTGTGCTAGAGCCTGGGTCACCAGGAGCTATACAGTTTTGATTTACAGCGGAAATATCAGCATATATTTTGAGCAGGATTACACATTATTACTCTACTTGGCATCGCACTTGAACGGACTTGAGGAACTTTGCAAGTCGACGCTCAACTTTCAAAGTAAATGGACTGGTCTTCCCAAGTCGACGACTTGAATGGCTTGAGCTGACTTAACTTACTTGAAGGAGGCCCCAAGTCGAAGTGTCAAAATGCTGATGCAGTGAGCTCTGGTATGGAGACGCGTGGATGAATTGCGACGCGAGGACGCGGATGCTGAGGTGGATTGGCCTCAGCTGCGAGACGATCGGCGTCGAGGCCTTTCAGGCGGAAGCACCGGTAGACGGCACATTTCGCAACTACTACGAGCGGGCCCGCCTTGCGTGGCTGGAGAGGATAGGCGATAGCAGGGATGAAGTGGGTGGTTGGTGCGGGTAGGCGCCGATGATAACCGCAGTGCAGAATGTGAGTTTCCATGAGACATCGCCGCCGTCCCTAAGGTTGGGACATTTCTCCTCGTACCCGTGTGGTCCCCCGATTGGGAACGTAATGCTGAAAGATTTCCATCATTTAGTATCGCTCACTGCTATGTATCAAGATAGGTCTCTCAGCAGACCTGCTCAATGTACCGCCATTTTCCCCTGGAATGTCAATCGTGGAGCACTTCGTCCATAGTTCTCTCACGTCCCTCTATCTGCATGTCGTGCGATTGGGCATCGCTAAGCATTGGGCTCTCCTTGGGATCACAACGCACCTCGCGCTGGGACACGTGCTCCGATCTATACCCTGACTGGCCCTATAAAGCAGGTATGGCTTTCATGCTCCCTCAAGCTTCTCCGGCAGGATCATCGCCGTGCACATGCGCTCGTCCACTCCGGCGACTTGGCAAGGCCGGATTCACGCCGCGTTGCACTGTTCCGGTATCGGAGGACGATGCCACCATGGAGAGATGATTTACCTCGCTATCACATAAAGCGACCGCGGTTCTGTCCCTCCACATTATCCCTAGAAGATCCTGTCAGCAAAAGCATAGTCGTGAGTCTTATCAATACGCCGTCCTCCCGGGTGCCTCGCGTGCTCTACTGACCTTCTCTGTGGCCAGCCATGCGGCTAATTTCCACAAATACTCTCCAACTGAAGAAGTTCAACAGCCTTGAGGAAGTGTTGAAGGAGCCATGGTATGCAGAAGCCGTCTCGCACAGGTTTTCCGTCGCCCGAAGCTGATGCCTGCAACAGCCCGCGGGGTGTGAAGCAGGGATACGCCATCCTATCGCACGTCTGGCGCCACAAGGGCAAGCCTGAACAGTCATTCGCAGACATGCAAAAACTATGCCATAGCCCGAGAGACGTCTCTCCGTACGACGACGAGCGAGTGGACGAGAAGGTTCGTGGATGTGCACTAGCCGCGAAGAAGTTAGGATATGGCTGGGTATGGGATGACACATGTTGCATCGACGATCAAAGCAGTGCCGAGTTGGAGGAGGCGATTAACTCGATGTACAGGTGGTACGCGGAGGCGGCGGTCTGTCTGGTCTACCTTGCGGACGTGCCGGATGACTGCTTCATCGAAGAACCGGACTCAGCCTTCCGCAAGAGTGATTGGTTCAAGAGAGGATGGACGCTCCAGGAACTCCTTGCGCCCCACTGCCTCATCTTTTTGTCTTCTGACTAGCAGCATCTCGGCACCAAGCTCGGGCTGGCGAACCTACTCGAGGAAATCACCGGAATCGACGCTGAGGTCTTGACGTTTCGTCGTGCCCTCCATCACGTCAGCGTCGCCCGTCGCCTGTCGTGGGCCTCGAAGCGCAAGACCACGAAGATCGAAGACCAGGCGTACTCCCTCTTGGGCATCTTCGGGGTCTCGATGGCTACAATATACGGCGAGGGCAGCTATGCATTCCGGCGCTTGCAGTACAAGATTCTGAAGTCCACTGCTGATCACACGCTCTTCGCCTGGGGGGATATGTGGCTACCCACCGACTCGGCGTCCGACTCGACTCTTGCTGAAAATTCCACTTCGAAGCAGGACAGGAGAAATCCTTCATCGACCCCTTCCAAACCTCATCATTTTGCTAGGCCGCCTCGTGTCGAGCAGTGCGATTCTCTCTTCGCGCCATCTCCTGCCGAGTTTTGTCAGGCGCACACGCCCGATGTCATATCCAAGACCTTGGAAGGGGTTCTCGCGTGGGCACGCAGTGTCTTCGATTTGGGTGACCCTTCTGTACGTACTACTGTATCTCTCTATCATCTCGCACGCCGGCTGATTCGCACTCGTAGATTGGAGTCGCTGAACATCGTGTGGCCGGTTCAGGGGTCTGCTGCCAGTTCGTCATCGTTCCTGGATATCCGTTCGCGCTCGCACTGCTTCCATGCCAGAACTCCAAATCCAACAAATTCGTCGCTCTGCCTTTGTGGCCAGAGTCGCCGCAGGAAAGCGAAGGCTCAGGTGCCCATCAACTCTTCCGGGTTGGTGTGTCCTTCACACCGTCGTATCCCACTGTCAGTCCTAGGCTGATCAGTCTCTGCAATTTCGGTGTACAAGCGTTACGGAGCCATGGATGGGTGCCAGGGAAAGCGCGGAGTACGGTGACAGACGAGGCCGGAAGGGTTTACATCATCGACCCCCATCGCTCCTCCTCGTTTCAAGATTCACGCCTCTACCCTCTACGCCTGGAACCGAAGTGGCTCTACATCCCTCCCTGGCTCACCGCATACCTAGCCATTCACGGGTTGACACTGAAGCTGGATGACGAAGCCCGCCGAGGACAGCACTACCCGTATGTGAAACCGCCATGCGAGCTGTACATCTACCGCAAGGACCAGCTGGACTTTGTCGTTCGATTCGACTACTGCAAGAGAACCCCTCTGCTGCTCGCACTCGTCGACTTCACGGTATCCGCCGCGCGATCAACGGGTCCACCAGAAGCCAAGGCGCCAGACGAGCAAGGGGCCTACTCTGGCGGTCCAGAGATCGGCTACGAAGTTGACAGTGCGCTGCTACCGCGTATTTGTCACTCTGCGAAGCGCGGCGAGAGACCCGACCATGTGCACGTCAACGCTTGGCTTAAAGGCTCTATGCGCTATAACTCTACCGACTGGGAGAAGGAGGTCCGGTTGAGCACCACGCTTTGGCCGACTCCCAAGTCCTCCTGTCTGGAGATCAGGTTCGGGGGGCCGTACTTTGCCTCTCTGCGCAAGCTTCAGGCTCAGGCTCGGTCAGCGGCGCAAACTTCAAGTTCTTCACTACAGAAGCCGCTGCCGCTGATCCCACCTGGCAGTGTATCCAAGTCCAGGACGGCGGACTCGAGGGACCCGTCCGAGAAGGATTCCTGGCCGCGTCATCTCCCCAAGGACATCGCGTCTCACCGGCCCCGGGATGTGACAGCGGCAAATCTGCGAGGGGCACCTGGCTTGGAGGCCAGCGCGGCGGCACCTGCGAGGCGCAGGGCCAGTTATTCCGAGGCGGTCACCCACAGATCTGCTCCGGTTCACCCACTACCAACCATCGGCAAAGTCGGAACCACACGCTCTTAGCGCCGCAGACCCAATGGACATCCGTTGTAAGGCATGGACGATTATTGTGACTTTTGTGCTTTCCCTGTTCCTTTTCACTCAAGCTGTAAACCCTCGTTCTAACCGTACCTGATGTCGTTCAGTATACCGTATACTCTCCAGCACGGCGTGTTGTTTTTCTACTCAATCCCCGTATGTAACAACATTCGTGTGTTCCCTTTGGTTCCTCACCCGATTCTCCGACTCTCCACTAACAAGTAGATCGCCGCGCACGCAGCCCGAGTGTCTTCGCCCTCCTGACCTCTGCCGGCTTGCTCGCACCCCGGAGCTTGAAGCTGATATCAGCCAGCGGGACATTGAGAATATCCCTTGTGCTCTGCAGTTTGTGAGTAAGTGGGATCGAGCGCGAGGAATGCATGAGGGCAGTATGTATACGCGCGGAGGTTGAGGAGATGCGATTCGGTCAACCAGTATTAACGGGACTCGGCATACCCACTCCGAAGCGGACACTGGACAGCATAGTATAGTACTCGGATATGCATATGTACGAGCAAAAAGTACAAAATACAGGATACAATCTCACTTGGATGTGCCCTTGAGCTTCTCCTCGACGAGCGACTGGAACTCCTCCCTCAGGATCGCCTCGCGCCGCTCGCGCTCCTCCTGCTGCAGCTTCAGGATCCCGCGCTTCTCCTCCGCGCTGATCACCTGGTTCTCCTTGCGCATGCGCACCGCGTTCATGCGCCGGTGGCGGCTCCCGCTCATCACGTACCCCACCTTCTCGTACGCCTCGATCTCGTCCGACGCGAGTCCGATCTCGCCGCGCCGCGGGATGCGCGAGTCCGTGCCGTCCTTGAGGAACGCCGCCATCGCGCTCCCCTCGCCGCGCAGCAGCGCCCCGCCGTACTGCCGCTCGTCCGTCTTCCCCCGCCCGTGGCTCTTCGCGTACACCGGCTGCGGCCCGACCTCGTCGTCCGACTCCGAGTACTCCTCGTCCTCTGCGAGCGCTTTCCCCTTTGCCTGGGCCAACTCTGCGTGGGCGGCGGTGGTGCTGGCGCGGCCGGGCGGAGGGGGTGCGAGGGCGGCGACGACGCCTTCCATAGGCTTCTCGACCCACTCGTCTTCGTCCGCGGTGGAGGGCGGGCGCGCGTCGGGGCTCTTCGTCCGCGTCGCACTGCGGTGGCTGTGGCTCCGACGCACGCTCTTGCTCTTGCTCTTGCTCCGACTGCGCGTGTCGTGACGACGTCGCCTGCGCTCGCGGTCGTCCTCCTCTTCGTCGTCGCTGATCCGCCGAGAGCGTGAACGGTGTCGGCGGTGCTCGCGGTCGCGGTCGCGGTCCTTCTCCTTTCCGCTGGATTTGCGCTGCTTGCGCGCCTTTTTGCGTTCCTTACGCTCCCGCCGCCGGCGGTCGTCTTCGGAATCCGTGTCGGTGTCAGAGTCAGAGCTGTGTCGACGTTTGTGTGCCTTTTTGTGCCGTTTCGATTCGCGTTCCGGGGACCTAGAGAAATGACAGTCAGTACCGGCAGATGAGACACATAGATAGTGCACGCACTCTACCCGGGTAGGACGTTTGGGAGATGGAGGCCATACGGTGATCGTGCTCGCTTCTCTTTGCTGCCGGCGACTACACCAATTATCAGTACCCTGTCAATCCTGGAAGACACCTACCGTACCTCTCTAAGAAGTCTGCCCCGCCGCCACCGTATCCACCACCGCCAAACCCTCCACCACCAGGGTAACCGCCACCGGCGGGACCGCCCCTGCCCCGTCCAGCATACATGTTCTCTTGTTGCCTCCATGGCGCCGCCCCATCGCCACCCGCGCCCTCCCCAGCAGCCCCATCCTCCCTCCTTGGCGGCGACGGCCGCCTATACTCTCCATACTCGGGGCTCGCGCGCCCTGTCCGCCCACTGTCCCTTTCTCTCTCCCGGCGGTCCTCACGCTCCCTGTCCCGGTCTCTGTCACCACTCGCGCTCCTGCCCCGCTTCTCTTTCCCGTCGTCGTTGAAATAGTCGTCCGCCCGCGCCCGCTCGCGCTCATGTCTTCTGCTGCGGTCTCCGTGGTCGTTCCGCCTCTCCTCTCGGTCCCGGTCCCTTTCCCGTTCACGCCCCTTGTCTTTCGAGTCGCGTACATGCGGGGGCCTGTCCCGCCCCAGATCATCCCGCTTGGGCGGGGGTGGTGGAGGGGATGGCGAGCGTCCACGCTGTTGCGGGGGAGGCGGTGGGGCGCCTTGCGGGACGAGGCCCATACGGGAGGGGTGCACCATCGCCATGTTTGTTCTTCAGCCTGATAAAACGCAGAGATAGAGTATGTGCAGTTGCGGAGGATGCAGACGTCGCTGGCCGCTTCGGACAAGAGCTGGTCGAGCACAAGCGCGGTGGACGCTCGTGAGCGCTGAACGGTACAAGCAGCGTGGGAACTTTGTCAGAGGCGCTTGAGTGAGCGGGGACCTTCCAAAACGGGACGGGTAAGAGAACGAGAAGAAGACCGGCTCTTGAAGGGAAAACCTACACGTTTCCAAGACAAGGTGGACTGTAAAATCAAGTAAGCAGGCATACACGAGGATCTCACCACGTAACACAATAATTCAACTCGAACGCGACCATACATCCATAGCACTAGCAGAATATCGAAATATCCGGTCTCCCAAGACACGGTACCTAGGGTGAGTGATCCACTGGCACTTCGCGGAGCTTTTGGAATACACGCTCTGAAAAGGGGGGTAGAGCGCGACGGAGGCTCTACCCCAACGCCATTCCAAGGGGGACGGCCATATCTCCCCAAAAGCCCGCCTCGTCACTGCCGTCGTCTATCCTGTCCAACCACCCACGGCGAGCCCGCTCATAGTAGACGCCGAATTTGTTGTCCTTCGGCGCAGCGACCTCGACAGTCTTGACGCCAACAGCCTGGCAGCTCCGCTCCACCTGTCTCAACATCTGCATCGTCTTGTGATGGCCCATCCACGGGCCCCCGCACCTCGCACCTATGGGGCCCGGGCCCGGCTGAAGCAGAAGGTGCCGCACGCTGGGATACGTCGGCACCAAAGGGGCCTTTGGGTCGACAAGGGATGATGGTGAGCCAGGCTCCGAGTCAGAGTCAGAGTCCCACCCCCACTGCGACCGGACGGGTTCGACCCGTACCCCCATGGCGCCCGCGATCTCGTTGATGTAGTTGTTCGCATGCGATATGCTGAGATACGCGACGTGCGGAGCATTCGTGGACCAGAACGGGAGGCAGAGCTCCCAGCTGCTCCAGGGGGCGACATAGAGGTGCGTCACCGCAGGGAAGAGGGGCGCCGTGGCGGTCTTCGTACCGTCTGACTCGTCCGAGAGGAGCGCGTGCGGGTATTCCATTCCTACAAATGCCGCTTCCAACAAGCGAGGGAATGGGCGATCTATGATGGGGAGGTGCAAGGTCCCTCCAGAGGTGAAGCCGCTTTGCACGACAAGGGTCACCAGGTCGGACGCGACCAGCCGGAACAATGTTTGTGCTGCATTGCGGTATTCCGGGGAGGTTGTCGGGTCCCGACTAGTAGCGCCTGAAGGCGGATGAAAGGGGTTGTCATCCAGCCGTGGCGCGACGTTCCCTTCAGTGTCGGACGTACGCCGAGGAAGAGCTGGTAATGCCCTAGAGGTACGAGACGTGATCGGAGGTGCTGCCACAGCTTCCGCCTGAAGAGGTGGCTGCATCTCGCGCTGGGGAGTGTGCTGTGGCGCCATTGCAGCAGACGTACCGACAAGATCTCCAGTCGCGTGCCCAGCAGAGTTCGAGGGTAGAATCGGTCTCAAGCGGTATGACGGCGAGGAAGGGGTAGCTGAAGGCAAAGGCCGAGGTGGGGGAGAAAGCGAGCGCCTCCGGGGCGCCCACGCTCCATCGATAGTGCGTGGGTCGCGGCGCAATATGCGGGGAAACGTCACATGGAGGTGTTGGATACGAGGTTTGTACCCGCGCGCGGGGTCGCACTCGCGCTCGTATAGGCGGACAAACGCCTGGAGGCGGCGAGGGCTGGCGGCGAGGGCAACGGAGTGGAAGCGCGTCGTGCGCGCGATTTCGCGGATGGCCTGCGACACGAGTGAGAGGGAGTGTCCTGTATATCCTCCATCGGTGCAGGCAAACTCGAATATTCGCTGCAGAGTTTCTGTTGGGAGGGTGTCCATTGCGGGAGAGTGCTCGGTCGGAGAGGGCAAGGATTGACTTAAAAGCGAGGGAAAGGCTGTTCAGACCAGTGGCAGCGCGCAGTTCCATGGCTGCGTCGGGCCCGGGATCGCACTGGTGCTCATGTGGCAACGGTGTAGTCGCCGGCAGCCCCTTTAACATATCGCAGTGTACCATCTTCCAGTCCGAGAACAGAGCATTTCTTTAGAACAGAACGCTGGATTTTGGAGTTGGCCTACATAACGCACGTTTTCCAGTGGCACGCCCGAAGTTCAAGTTGTCAGTGCACTAGAGCATCGCCGCTCGGATTACGTTTGTGCTGATTGAAGGCGGCAGTACTAGGAAAAAATAGCTCCTTGACCAGTAACCACCACCATGTGGTTTATTCCCACGCGTGCGTGGCTGGAATAGCATCCCTTTTCCCCCCTGTGGCTCGATGATGGGAAGTGCAGTCTAGCCTGAATGGGCGACTGAAGAGTGGCAGGCTGTGTGGGGGAGGTTTGTGAATCGGTGGCCATGAATGGCGTAGAGCAGCTCGCTGCAGCCCTCTTCGGAGTGGGACCTCTCGGGGTTGAGAATGGAGAGTGCGGTGGCGACCATGAGCGCTATGCGCTGGCGAAGATGATGGGACCTGGATGACGCACGAGGTGTGGCCTGGACTTGACTCCGATGAGCGCTGGCTTGGCGGTGGTGTCGGGACGTGACGGAGTAGTGCGCGGGCGCCAGATAGCGCCTTGATTGAGAGCCCGGGCGCTGAAGAAGTGCTTCCTGGTGTGAGGAGCGAGTTGGGCGAATTAGGATCCCTCTAAAAGAAGCCCATAGAGTGTGACGAGTGTGTAGAAATGAAGAAATAAGATCCGTTTGCCTGTGTAGTAGGCCTGACAATTGGCATTAGGTGGATGGCAGACAGGTGACTAGTACGAGGGAAAGCTATGGAGGCATCATGTGTGTTAGCTCGTCCAATCGAGCTGCTGATTCAGCCTGTGTGGTGGGTCTTTGATTCCAGAAATGAGTGGACGGCTGAGCGGGGAGTATAAGTACACGTTTTCTGTGGTGCTGCGTGATGCGTACTGATCCTAAAATCTACGCCAATCCGCGCTGCGCGCTCATCACACTCCCTTGCTTCTCCATGACTCTGTCCTGGGCCCAACGTAATCAACCAGCATCTGAGTAGCCCGCCAAAGCCCCAGAAGCTGAACTGCGCCGGGAAAACGAGACTGAGATATCCTATAAATGTGGTGAGTAAGAAACTGGACGTCTGGACACTCCCCTTACCGTTCAGAAACAATCCTGCAGAAACTAGAACTATGCTCTCAGCCTTTGAGCATCAGACCGCCTATGTTCCCCTCTACGTCACGCCTCTCCTGTCTGTGAGGAACCCAGCGCCGCAAGGATCGCAAACGGCAATGTACGCAGTCGCGATCGAGCCATTGTACCCCCTCCAAGTTGGCGACGCGGTCCACCTTCATCTACTCTCCTTTCCCCCCCGAGAGCCGGGGACGACGCAAAGCGGGGTGATGAAGCCGGTCGCGACCCCCCTCGAAATCAAAGGCCGAATCTCTGGAGAGCGCGAGAGGGACGAGCTCGAGGTGGAGTTCGTGATTAGAAATGATGAAGAAGATACGGACGTACGACGAGTTTTTGTGAGAGCGGGGGTGAACTCATGCACTCCCGCCACTCCGATGACTTCCGACGTGCGCTATGGACTCCGACGGCCCAATCTGCATGGCGGACAGGAGTGGGTGGCGGACCGCGAAGTGGATAAACCTTGGCAGGCGGGATGGGGCGGGCCGACTCAGACGCCTATCCTGGAGGCTGAAGGTGGCGTGGGCGTGCGAAACGCGCTTCCAGATGCGCAGCGCATCTTGTTTGAGCAGCTCGGGGTAGATCGGAGGATGAGGAGCGCCCATCGCCAAAGCGACCGCGGCCGCTGGGTGGTGTACGCGCCGCCGAGGAAGGGGGCGAAGAAACTTAGACGGGTTGAGGGGAGCAGGCCTGGACCCCCAGCGGTAGCGCCGGGACCGACGCAGAGAATTCCAACGCCGTGGGACGCGCCGAGAGAGCGGAGCCGGACGGGCATTGCAGAGGGGGTGGGAAGTAGTAACGGGCGGAACTCGGAGACGCCGGCGCGGGGGCCGAAGGACCTGTGCACGAGCTAGCTAGCACGTAACAAGTGATGGGCAGTGTCGCCTCGCTTTGAACTTTCTGCAACCTGTATTCCTCCTCGTGTATCGCGGCCTCAGGTATCGTCTGACCTATGTCCCTCTGAGTGGAACACGCAGGCTAAATATACAGAAGAATTTGCGACGTATAGAAACAATGCACGAGCGCGTACGGGGTTTTTTAGACCTCAGGGTCTGAGGGATAATTTCAATACAGGAAGTGGACCTGGTGTGCGACGTGCACCAAGGTCGGCGACAGCATGTCAGCGACAGCTCTGGCTAACTTAAGAACCTGATCCTGCGACTATGACTACGACTGGCGAGAAGATGGGACCGGCTGGAGGGAAGCGATGGGCTATGTGGAATGGTGAGGCGGCCTCGCCCCTCTGTTTGGCACCAAACTGAATGGCACTCTAGGCGACCAACAGATGTGGTGCAGGGATGTGTACGAAATGCATCCAGCTACCGGATATGGGTGATGGCCGTTGAACCACGAGAAGAGCGCCGAAAGCCGACGCCCAAACAGAAACACATTACATCTGGCGCAATGTGTGGGTTGACCTCACCCGGAATGCGAGAAGAACCACCGTCGACGACTACGCGAATGGCGCCTACAAGCCCAGCGGGGCAAGCGCACGGACAGCTCGCAATACGCGGATGGATACTCCAATTAAATTCAATTATTTGCGAGATAATCCAGGTGAAGTATAGTACTTGGGCGTGCGGTGCGAACGGCATCTAGCCTGACTGACGACTATTGCGAGAAAGTCGTGGCGACGGGGCTGTAGGGCGGTGGACGTGGGCGCTGGTGACGCTCTCGCCTTTTCCATATAAACCTCGCTACGCAGACTCACTCTCCTCAGCTTCCTGAGCACTCTTTCCTCTCTGCTCCTACCATGTCCACTCCTCCTACTCCGCCGTTCTCGCTCCCCATCTCTGAACTAGCTGCGTACGCGCGGCGCGACTCCTCGCCCCCGTCCCCGACGACTCTCCACGTTGAAGACGGCGGTCTCCAGATGGCTGACGAACGCCCGTTCCGAGCCATTCCCCTCTCCCGCCCCCGCTCAGCGACGATCTCGGCGACGATGATGGTGTGTTACGTGTGTTCGGAGTGATTTATAGGGCACTAATGATATCTGTGTAGCGGGAGGTGGCTGCACGAGCTGCGGACACACGCGGCATGCTCCAGGACGCGAACGACGTGATGGGGACTGGTGTTTTGAGCGGGGACCTTCCTGTACGTGACACCGTTGCCACACCAGACCTGGTGTTCCCCTCCATTCGTCCCAGCCTCTCGCCTCCCCGATCTCCCCCTGCTCCTCCGATCGTCGAGCGTGCCCATGCGAGCGCGGAGATCGTGGCCCCGAGCCCGGTAAGGCTGTCAGAAACGGTCGAGAGGCTCGAGCAGTCGGCCTGCGCGAGCATGAACTCGTCCTCGACGCGGAAGGGCAAGAAACGGGCACGTATCGCAACGCCGTCCCCCCCACCATCGCCAACCCCGGTCAGGGCGCCGCCGGGGGCGATACATCGCTCCTCCCAGACTCTCCGTCAACGTCTAGTCCAGACTCATCGCTCCTACGCTCTTGCCCCGCCCCAGTGGGCGGCGCCGACGCGCACGTACAGGCACCTGGCGCCGGCCACTGCTGCGATGATCGCGGCGGCCCTACTCCCTGAGGAACTGCGCGCGGCGTGTGCGGACATTCCCCCCGCGAACGGTACTGGCTCTGACCCGCTCCAGAACGCGACTACGCAGCCCTCCGACACCCAAGTCCCCCGCTACCTACCCCCGACACCCCCAATCCGAACGATCCCAGTCTCGGGTGAAACGACTCCCCATCCGAACGTCGCGGTACCCCATCCGCGGACAACGAGCGCGGTGAGGAGCTCGTCCCCGGACCTCATCTTCCCGATGGACCTAGACGGAGCGAGCTCTGCGCCACCAGCGACGAGCTCCCCCTTCCCTTTCTCCATTCCGCGGCGTGAAGCGGGTGGAGGAACGCTGCGGAGGGGTGTCCTGGATACGATTTTCGAGAACGGAGCGAACACTGCGACGAGCCCCACCCTGGTGCCCTCCACGGGGTATGGATCTGAGGCATCGACACTTGTTAACTCCTCGTGGCCGTGGGCGAACGAGCATCCAATCCCGCCTGTGGAGAGCGACGAGAACGCGCCCCCCACGTCGCAAGTCCCTCCTACCCCGGCGACGCCGCGTTTCCAGTCCCAGTCTGCTGCGGACCTCGCGGCGAGTTTCGTTCCCCCAACACCGGCTGTTCCTCGCCACAACCTCACTGCTCCGGGTCACGCGCAGGGGACAACTGTGGGGACGGCAACGTACCTCGCGGCGGTCAACTCTATGAACCAGAACATTGGCGGAGGTCACACGTTCACCGAGATACCGGATGGAGGGTTCCCAGAGGTTCTCTTTGCGGAGCCGGACGGCCTCCTCGCAGGCCTTCCGCGCGAGCGCATCAACGCGATCTGTGGTGCCAACATTGGGCCGTGCTTCGTCCTCCACGTACACAACTCGGCTTTTCCGAGCCAGCACGAGCTACGCGCGCTCACGACGGCTATTGAGGGGGTCATTAGGCAGGTTACGGGTGATCTTAACCCGCTCGTGGTACCACCGGAGCGCGAGTGGGTGCAAGGTGGGGACAGGCGGCCAACCCCTTTCGCGTGGACGAGCCTCGTCAACTCTGAGCGCGCGGTTGAGCTGATGTTGGCGCGCCCGGTCTGGTCGTCAACGGTGGTCTCGTTCCATGTTGCTCGCCCGCTGATCCAGATAACGCGCTTCCTCTTCGTTCTGGGGGGGTTCGCGCACGACCGAAACCACAGCATCCTAAACGCGGTCTGGGCGGTCTTCACGGGCGACGCAGTCCTCCCGCACATCCTCAGGCTTGTCCAAACCCACCCGGGTTTCACCAGCAACACTCCTGAAGAAGCAGCGCGCACCATCCTGGCATCACTCGAAGTCCGGGTCTCCACGCTCCACAACGGCAACGTGATTGCGGCGGTCTTCTGCGACCCCCCGACGCTCTCGATCCCGCGCTGGAGGGAGTGGCGCAACGGCATCACCAACCTCCCCTTCCCAAGCTCTCTCAACTCGACGGGCTTTGTCCGCCGCCCGTCCCCGTGCGCGGGATGCCATGGATGTGACCACCCGACGCACCTCTGCCCCTTCCAAGACGTCCCTGGATGGAACGCGCCCCCTCCGGGCACGACCTGGGGCCAACCAACTGCAGGCCAGACCCAAGGGCCGCCGGGTGGACTCCCTCCTCCTCCCCCGCCCCCTGGTGGAGGCGCCATGACGCGCACGCGCTCGCAGGGCCCGCGCCGCCCGAACTCTGCTAGTGCTCCGCCTCCCCCCCGCCGCGACTACCGGGGTGGAGGTGATGGTAGAGCAGGCGGGTCTGGTAGTGGACGTGGTGGCCATGGTGGCGGCGCAGCCGTCTAGTATCTGTATCCCTGTATGAACGCATAGTTTGCCGTTGAATCTTGATCTGTCCCCTACGTGTCTAGCCTGATAATTCACTGCTGAGCGCGCCTGATGAACTTCGTAATAAACATTTGAGCACGCGACACAGCCTTCTATGATTGTGTGCCGTTGTGTGCGACAAGCTGAACGCGCGCATTCCGACTACGGAAGGAGAGCTCCTCGTGGCTGGCCCCTACTGATCGAGCGATCAGGAACGAGCCTAGAACCCGGTCCCTGAAAAGCTGGTGCGCGCGATTAATCGGATCGAGAAGATGGCGCGCCCGATTTTCTCCCTGGCTGTGCATCGTCGTCATAGCGGACGTTAACTGACCCTTAGATGTCCGTGGCTGCAGTGTGTTGATATCGCATCTGCATTATTAACACTCTTGCAACAAGGGTCTGTCTGGGCCCAAATATACCGACCTCTCGAGGGACGGGAAAGCCTGGATAAACAAAAAGCGGCGGCCTATTTAGGCCCCGGTGTGCCGCGCCGAGAGGCTGAAGCTCGAGGACTGGAACTCGAAGTGCACGACACTGAGAGGTCTGCCCAATGCATAACCATCTCTGATACTGAGGATGAGTATCTAGCTGTGGGGTATGGTTGTATCCTAGAGCGAAACTGCACAACTACTGAAACACAAACGAATAACACACACGGGCGTAGAGTATCGGAAAACGGTGAAGAGCGAATCCGCGGCACTCGAGGGACTGGGGTACTCCCTGCTGGCTCTGGTCCTGAGGAGAGTGCTGGGGTGTATGGTAGCGGGGCGAACCTTCCTGACCGAGCTGAGCATGGTGAAGCACAGATGGGGCGAGGCGAGGAAAGGGGGGGTCGGAGGCAGAACAAGAATAGAACACGTGCGAGGATTCGTATTGGATCTCTGAACATGAGGGGATTTGGATCCACGGCGAGTGCGGTAGACGAGAGCAGATGGATGAGAATTAATCAGCTCATACGTGATGAGAAGATCGGAGTGCTAGCACTCCAGGAAACGCACCTTAATGAGGAAAGGGTGGCTGAGCTCAACGAACTCTTTGGGCGACACATGCATGTCATGTTCTCGGCGATGCCGGGGCAAGAGACGGGGGCGTGCGGAGTGGCGTTTGCGCTTAATAAACGATATGTTGAACCAGAGAAGTGTACCTTCAAAGTAGTTGTGGAGGGTAGGGCGATAATTTTGACTATGCCGTGGGCGACAGAACGGACGCTAAGGGTGCTGAACGTGTATGGCCCGAACATCCCGACGCTGAATGCGGAGTTTTGGAAAGATCTCCGACAAGCGGATACGGGGGTCGTTGATATGCTCCTTGGTGACTTTAATGTTGTAGAAGACGGCGTGGATCGTATTCCGGCAAAACAGGACCCGACGCAAGCAACGGACGCCCTGCGTGCGCTGGTTGAGGCCCTTCGCTTGTATGATGGCTGGCGTGCAGAGAATCCTAATACCAAGGAGTTTACATACCTCCACAAAGCGACGGGTGCGCAATCAAGGCTAGATCGAATCTATATATCAGGGAGGCTGAGAGGTGACTCTGCGGATTGGAGGCATAAGGAATCGGGCTTGGACACGGACCATAAAATGGTCACCGTCTCGCTTGCGAACAGGAGGGCTCCGTTCATGGGGAAAGGGCGATGGGCGATGCCAACGCACCTCCTTACGGATCTCCCGACTATCAAAATGATGCGTGCGCTGGCGAGCAAGCTGATAACAGAAATTGAAGCGATGAGCGCCCGAACGGAGGAGCGGAACCCGCAGACGATGTATCGTGAGTTTAAGAATGCACTCACACTTGGTGCGCGTGCGCGAGCGAAGGAGAAAGTGCCGAAGCTCCAGAAACGGCTGGATGGTCTCCGCGAGGACCTTGGGATCACTCTCAACCAAGTTGGAGGGGGGGTGCCTTCCCTGGAAGAGGAGGCGAAGACGCAGCGGCATGCGGCGATCTTGCAGGACCGCATTACGGTGCTGGAGCAGAAGCTTTTTGCAGGGCGGAGAAAGGCGGTGGCATCGAAGCACTGGGTTCAAACGGAGACAATGAGCAAGTACTGGACGCGCCCGAATGTGGCGCCCTTACCGTCAATTGTTATCCCGGAGCTCAGAATGTCTGATAGAGAGGAGGGCGGCTATACTATGAACTCGAAGCAAATGGCGGAGACGGCGAGGGCCCATTATGATTCCCTCCAGGATGTGGATCCTATGGGAGTGAATGAGCCACATGATGAGTACATCGCTGAAGCTTTGGCTCCGGCTACAGTTAAACTGAGAAATGACCAAAAAGCGTACTTGGCACGGAAACTTGCAGTGGAGGAGGTGAAGGAGGCGATTAATGCTGCGGCAAACAATAAGGCTCCGGGCCTGGATGGGCTACCCTCGGAAGTATGGAAGACGTACCTAAAGTGGCATGAGGCGGATGTTAAGAAAGGGGCGCCGGCGCTGGACATGGCGAAGGCCCTAGCATGTGTCTTCAATGATGTGGCGACGTATGGAATGATTCCGGAGTCCGAGTTTGCGGAGGGATGGATATGTCCCATATACAAACTAAAGAAAGATCTGAGGGAGATAGTCAACTATAGACCGATCACATTACTGAACTCAGACTATAAGATTATGACGAAGACGCTGGCGATGAAACTTGCTGAGTGCGCACCGTCTGTAATTCACCCGGACCAAGCGGGATTTGTTCCCGGACGAAGGATATTTGACCACATTCAGCTGAGCAAGCTGATCATTGCGTACACGGAAGCAGAGGAGATCAATGGAGCTATAGTGGCACTTGATCAGGAAAAAGCGTATGACAGAATTGATCACCATTACCTCTGGGCGACACTTGAGCACCTGAATTTCCCGGCGAACTTTGTTAACACGGTTAAGCATCTATATGCGAATGCGGTTAGCTGTGTTATTATAAATGGGATGAAGAGTAGAACGTACAGGGTATGGCGTGGGGTGAGACAGGGAGACCCGATGTCATGTCTCCTGTTTGATTTTGCCATTGAGCCGTTGGCGTGTGCGCTTCGCGCGTCGACACTGCGGGGAATTTTGATTCCGGGGGATACGGAGAGACTGATCGCGACACTTTTCGCTGACGACACTACTGTCTTTCTTGGAGAAGGCGATGACTATGCGACAGTCCTGGTCCCAACGGACATTTGGTGCAAGGCGGCACGTGCAAGATTTAACCTGGAGAAGACGGAGGTCATACCTCTTGGAACGCAGGAGCATCGCGCGCAGGTCTTGGCGACGAGATGTCTGCACGAAGGCGCGACCCCGATACCGACGAATGTTCATATTGTAGCAGACGGCGAGGCGGTGAGGTCGCTGGGGGCATGGGTAGGAAACCATGCGGAAGCGGCTGCACCGTGGAATGCGATGATCACCACGATGAAAAAGAATCTTGAGCATTGGAATAGAGGGAAGCCGACGCTGTTGGGCAGGAAGCTAGCAATTGACTTGGAAGTGGGTGGACGCACTCAGTTCCTTGCGAAGGCGCAAGGCATGCCGAAGGTGGCGGAGGACGCCATAACTCGCATGATCGCCGATTTCATGTGGAACGGAGATACCCACCCGCGGATTGACAGGGGGACGTTGTACGCACCGGTCACAGAGGGGGGCCTGAACGTCCTCAACGTTGGTGCTAGGAATGACGCCATCGATTTGATGAGACTTAAGGACTACCTTAATCTAACTACGGAGCGACCGAGATGGGCATTGGTGGCGGATGTACTCCTGGCGCGGGCGGTGGCGGCGTCATCCAAGGCCACGGAGCCGAAAGCGAGAATTAACGCTTTCTTACAGACATGGGAAGTGAGTACGAGACACGCGAAAGGTCTTCCTGAGGATCTGCGACGGATGATTAAGGTGGCGAAGAAGTTTCGTGTGTGCTGTGATGTTCGTGTGGCGACGCGCGAGCTTAAAGAGGTAATGCCTGCGTGGTATCACCTTGGTGCGGAGCCTGGCCGCTCGACGGCGAACTCGGTGGCGGCAAAGTGCCTCCGGAGGGCGCATGGTGTTCGAACAGTTGGTGAGTGTGAGCGAGTGGCGGCGAGGCTGCGACCTGAAAATGAGGAGCACGTTCCGAGGAGTGACTGTGAGTGTCGAGAATGCGTGATGGACAGAGGAGAGGGAGAATGCACCAACCCTCATAGATGCGCCCTCGCGGCGGAGAGACTCCTGGACAAACTCAAGCCGAAATGGAGCCTAGCGCGGGGTGAGAATGTTGATGGCCTGTCGCTGACAAAGTCGCGCAAAAGGGTAAATGAGACAGCGCGAGCTGAGAAAGGAAGAGTCGTTTTTGACCCCTCCTTGGCCCAGGGAGCACCTCTCGCTGCGGTCTTCCGGGTATTCACGGATGTGAATAGGGATGTTGGGGAAATGGCGACGAGGCCACCTCGTCCGTTCGGGGTGCTGCAGGAGGAAACTGAGGTGTATACGGATGGGTCGGCGATGCAGAATGGCTCTGCATCTGCAAGAGCGGGAAGTGGAGCGTGGTTTGGACCTAATGACGCCCGAAACGAGGGAGCCCGGGTTCCGTATGATGAGCAGACGAACCAGGCGGCGGAGATCTATGCTGTAGTCCTAGCGGAGAGCAAAGTCCCGCCGTTTGCACCGCTCCACATCGTGACTGATTCCAAATACGTGATGGATGGACTCACGATACACCTCCGCGGATGGGAGAACAAAGGCTGGATCGGCGTGGCGAACGTGGCACCGTTCTCTGAAGCGGTGGCGGCGCTGAGAAGTAGATCAGCCCTAACGACGCTCCGCTGGGTGAAAGGCCACTCGAACGTCTGTGGAAACGAAGAAGCTGATAAGCTGGCGAGCTCGGGAGCGGACATGCTTAGACCGTTTCGACCGGTCTCCTTACCGAAGACTAGATTTCTCCGGAACGGAGCATCGCTTGTGACGCTCACACAGTCGCTTGCGTACCGCGGAGTCAAGCGCGCGAACCCAGCGAAAGCGAGACGAGCTACGGAAGCGTGTATTGCGGAAATTGCGAGAGCGGCCGCTGAAGCGTCGGAAGCGGCCCCGCTGGTGAGTGGGGTATGGTGTGCGCTGAGAAGGGACCCCGTAAGCAGATCGGTCCGGGACTTCATGTGGAAAACCATCCATGGAGCGCAGAAGGTTGGAGCGTACTGGAAGCACATACCAGGCTTTGAAGAGCGTGCGAGGTGCGAGGCGTGCGGCACGACGGAGGATATGGAGCATATCTTGACATCGTGCTGTGTTCCGGGACAGAACCTGGTATGGAGGGCGGTCATTAAAATGCTTAGCAAGAAAGCGATTGCATTACCACCGGTGTCTCTGGGGCTGGCGCTTGGTGGTTCGCTGTTTGTGGCACGCAAAGAAGATGGTGGAGTGGATCAGGGAGCAACAAGGGCGGCGCGAATGCTTCTAACGGAGGCGGTACATGTAATTTGGGTCCTGAGATGCGAGCGAGTTATTGGCTGGGCGGATACACCAACTAGGAAGCACACGGACAGCGAGATCCTCAATAAGCTGGCGGCCAGGATAAACAGGCGCATTGCTATGGATCAAGGAGCGTCGAATGTACGGATGCACAAGAAGAGGGCGGTTAAGTGGGAAAAGGTCCGAAATACGTGGAAAGGGCTCTTGCGGAACGAGCATGTGTTGCCGGCGGAATGGATGAGTATGCAGGGGGTTTTAGTGGGTATACCATCGCTCGCGGAGCTGCGCGAACCGGGCTGAGATGCTCGGTGGGAGTCCCACACTGCCAGGCAGAACCTGGCGTGCACAAATGCATTTCCCCCATAAGGAAGGTCCACGTGGCCTTAAAAGCATACAATTATTAGGACGTGCCGGTTGGCGCCCGCCTGATAAGTACCTTAAAAAAATAAAATAAAAAAAAAGGCGGCAGTACTAGTGCTATACCGTGATCATCATATAGAGTCAGCCACCTCGTTACATTGGAAGAACTTTGTTACCTTTCCGAACCTCTAGCATCAGATACATGAAAGAGGAGTAGTAAGTGAACTTGAAGAGGAAGCGTCTAGTAATAGGAACCTCGCCAGACTCGGAGGCGCTCAGCAAGGCTCAATTGAGCCACCCGGGCGCCTACTGCTCCAGGCGCTCTGCCATTCGCACCTTCGATGAACGTCTGCTTTGGAACGCCAACTCTTTCCCATGCTGCTGGCGGTCAGGTTTGTACACGGATTGCGCCATGTGCTCACATGGATTATTCTGTACACAGAATATCTCGTTACACGGCGCGAACGTGTATCCACGGCGGACGCAGTGCGCCGCTTTCGTTGGCCAAAAGATTGCGACCAGGATCATTGGTCTGTCGAGCTTTTCACCGGGTGTGCATATCGTTCAATACTGTTCAATTCCTCCGCGCCACGCAACGTGGAGCTCTGGTGTGACCGTTTCCTAGTGCGTTTCGCCGTGCGCCATTCACTTGCATAGCTAAGATGTGGATTGAGCCTTTGACTTCTTCGGGCTATACAGGCTGGAAGTGCCATGCAGTGCCATGCGCAGCTTGAGACATGAGGCAACATCTTCCAAACTCCGAGTCTGATATACCTCTGCGCATCGGTATGCCGCTGATGTCCTTTTGTCCCCACCGCACGCTCATCTCCAGACTCATCGCCATCGGTCCAGCACCTCCTCTCGCTCGCACTCAGAGTTCTCAAACCATCGGTCTAGTATGGAGATCCTTGAGGCATCGATCAAGTTGCTGGAAATAGCGAAGCTTGTAACGGCTGACATTCCCGTCCCCGGGCTCAACACTGCCCTTGAATGTGCCCTCAGTATTGCGAAGAAAGCCAAGGTCAGCATGCACCGTCTGGGCTCACATTATCATTGTGTAGTGACTTGGAGCTCCTCTAGGAAATCAAAGACACCCGGGATGAATGCCGAGCGCTCGCCCAGCGTGCTGCAGACCTCGTGTTAATAATATACGAGCAGCTCAAGAACGACAGCGGCCAGACGGCGGCAAAAGAGCATGTCACGATGTTTCTACAGTTCGTATTAGTGCATTCTCCCTCTGTAAATCAGTTCGATCTGACTGGACCCGACACAAGCAACTTGCTAGACATCGAGAACTTGATGGTCCGACGTCTGCAAGCCGGAACAGGAGAACGCATCCTGTTTGCATTCAATATCGGGAAAATCGCCAAGGAGGTTCAGACGCTGACCGCAAGGCTCGAAGAATCCTATCGCAACTTCATGGTACAGACCGAGCGGCTCCCGTTACGTTCAAGACCAATGATATCACCCCTGTTGCTAGATCCAGGCTGCGTTATCCATCCACCAGAGCATGGACACGCTGACGAGCGGGAACGTCCGTATGCTGCAGCACATTGACGACTCGGCTCACGTCGGAGAAGCTGTGCTTGGAGATACTAGAAAGATTCGCACCGACCTCACGGATCTTGCGCTTCGTGTCGGAGCGAGCGCGATGTTCGACGGAAATGTAAGCACACGAATCCGCATAGAATCCATGTGCTTATCAACGACTGGCGCGGTAGTTCCGGCTCTTCGCACGCGAAAACCTCACCTTCTTGGAACCTATAGTCGAGCTGGCGTACAAGTCACACCACGCAGCCACGCAACAACGAGACGAACATACCGCCATCCAGGCAACTGCTCGGCCTCGCACTGGACGCGTCTTCCGCTACCGCGCCATCGTGAAGGCTGCCGGCGAACTTTCTGGAACGAATGTCGTAGTGTACACATATCCCAATCGCGGTATTGAACGATTCACGGAGGCGATCAAATTTGCGAAGCAAAGCTGGTGCGCCCACATCGTTCCACCTAGGGCTGCAGTGCATCTCACTGCCGAACCGATAGTCATCCATACGTTCCGGCTATACTAGGCTACTCCCGTCCGGGAGGTCCAGGTGAGGCCGCGTACATCGTCACGGAAGGTACGTAGACTTATCCTACACCAATTGCAGTGGTTGATATGGTCTGCTTCTATGACCGACCCGAAATTTGTCGATAGATTACCTCCCTTTTGTTGACTATGTCAGTTCCTTGCGTGGAACCAGCAAGTTACGAGCATATCTACAAATGGTACGTAGTCACGATATCCCTAGTAATGCTGCCACGGAACTAACAGGCTGTAGAGGGTCGCAACTTGTGTACGTACAACTCAACTGAAGCCCTGATCAACTGGATTTGTGGGTACTATTAATTGTATGTAGATGGTCGTTGACCACCTGGAAATGATGGAACTGCATCAACTGCTTCCTACAAACACGTTTTGGGTACGATTAGCTAACTACAGTATCATCTGGGATACCGATTTACTGCCCATATCTCGTGCTCATGCAGGACTCCCGTGCAAATCATCGTATCAGATTAGACGAGGTCGTATACGATGACCGCGAAGGCCGTATCAAATGGGTTTGGGATCCCCTCCTGCTTGAAAGGCCGCATCCCGGAGAGGCCTGGGTGTGTACTGCTACTGCCTTCATATGCTCCCGCTCTCACCACACTAGTACACAGAACATGTATATTCCGACTGCGCAAAGGCATAGACAGCGCATAGCAGAAGGTAATCCGCATACTCCGAACTCTATGGCACCTTACAAGTGCGATTACTGACTATTTATTTAGATCATCGTGCCGTCGCATCCTCACGCGTGGACACTGCAGTGCAGCATTGGTTATCGCTGGTCCTGAAACCCGTGGGACTACACCGTAGTTTTGCCCTAGAAGGCCGTTCATGGTTGCGATACTGGGATGATATCGTCGACTATCCACGGCATCCACTTGGAGTGTGGCTGGGACCCGACAGCGATTACGAAGATTGGACCTGTCTATCTGCAAATCCTGGATTTGAGGTCACTGTACAAATGCAGATCGTACCATATGTACTTCCCAGTCCCTGGCAAGACGGTGAGTCATCCCGGATACAACCATAAAACGGCCCCGCTAACGGAAAGCTTATGTGGGCAGAAGGCTGTGAATTTTGGCAGAGGTTAAGCATGCGTGAATGGTTCTATTTCTCGGAATCAGACCTTGGCGAGATGTGCATCGAATACGAGCTAGGCACAGGTGAGAACCAGAAACGATGGAAGAGGTAAGTGCAGCTTTATCCGAGCCGCTTGCACCCTGGCAATGATCGAGGCCATCTGACTCAACTCCTCAGATACCAGTTTTCCTACATTCCCGTGAACACGACATTTCTCTTTCAGCAATGGGTGCACGTGCTAGACGAACTCGATGCTGCCTCGCGGATGATACGTTCGCTACCGGATCTGACATGTGTGTTAGAAAGCTACCCATGCATAGGCATAGGTACGTCCCCTCCGCCTGTCTGTGTTTCTGCTGCTGATATCGGACACATTTAGTCCCACACCGATACCTTTACACCGAGACTACTATCACAATGGGCGCACACGCCGCCGCCGAGCAGGTGTTCCCACCGCTTTGGTTTTTTGCATTGCAATTCGACAGCGGCGACAATTTTGCCCACGACTGCAATATCCCATGCGGGTTCTGGTCATCGGACAAGTACCCTACATCTATTCCGGCGGATATTATCTTCGATCCAACGCCACAGTCCGAGCCCGTCTGGACCGACATAGAAGCCCCGCTGTTCACCTCGACGCAAATACTTGGGGACCTCATATTCACTACGCAGACAAAGTACGCACCGATGTTGATTCGAGGCCTATATAAAGGGAATCGTACTACTAACACTACATTCTGTGGTAGGATGGAAACCATGATCAAACGGTTCTCCGAGGACGAGTTGTTGGCATTTAGAGAGCTCCAATTCAGCCATCATTCCTGAGGGCGTAACAAAGACCGGCACGTCGGTAAAAGTTCTCAAGGCTAGTACAACGTGTGGTAATTACTCGTATCCTTCTCCGAGAACGAACTTGTGATCGTACACGCGCTAGATATGGGAAGAGGTGATGAACTCTGAACCTGGAAGGCTGTAAGCCGCACAAAGAGAGGTCTTCAGTCTGTGAGAGAACGACTATGATTGCATAGTACTGTACCTGTAAGCCGCACAAAGAGAGGCTACAAGTACTAGTAAGTAAACATGTAAGGAAGCATAGGTAGTGTGGGACTTACTCTTCAGTCTGTGAGAGAACGACTGAAGAGCAGAGGCCTGCAGAGTCCTCCTTATATACTACTGGGGAGGACGATGAGTAAGCGTATAAGAAGAGAGCATGTGACGTCCAGAGGACGCTGACTGAGCGATGAGTAACGCTGAGTAAGGGAGCATAATCGACATAAGGTCAGATAGTCCATGGCTGAGTAATGCGAGTAATCCGGACGCTGTCTAGAATAGTCCGGAACATCGTAGAACGTACCAGAATCATGTGGAGGGATGGCAGGATGCCAAGTAAGTACAGAACAAAAGAATGTACGTATATGGTAAGTAGGAAAGTCCATGCTGGCGTATGGTA